AATCTGAGGCAGGTGTCCATTTAGGGAAAGGAAAGTGACTGGGTGTGTCCTTATTTTCTACCTCCAATTTGAGTAATTCTGTACTTTTTTCCTCAGAATTGAGTGGTTCCATATTTTTTCCCTGTGCTTGGTCAATAAAAGTAACATTCACTGACTTCCACAATGTTTTCTCTTAATTTCTTTGAGTGTTCCTGAAAGCCAACAAGTTGCACTTCGGAATGACCTTATTATTGTATCATGTTTTTAATCTGAGTTTGTTTTACAGAATGAAATGTCTGAACGAGTGCTCATCCAAGACTGGTGATTCCATACTTTTTCCAGGGGTTGTACCCTGATACTTAGCTCAGTATAAGTAAARTTCACTGAGTTTTAGCTAATTTTGCATTTGTTATAATTGATCAGCTGTGCTGGCCAACTTCAATCTGGATGAGTCAGAATGTTAATCAGTTGCAGATGTGCATCCATTGATTACATTCAGAGAGTTTCATTGAAATCCAACAGACAGACAACACATGCAGACATGATTCATTGCTTGCCTTTTATGGCAACGGGCAATACATTTTTAAGACAAACATTCACATCTGAATTTAAAATGCAGCTCTGTTGGTCAGTTTCAATCGCTTCTTTGCTTTCCTCCAGAGACGTCAGCACCAAACAGAAATGTTGCCCAATACAATGTTTGTAGTCTTCCAACATCTTCACTAAAAGAACCGAGCAGGTCTGCCTGGTTGCATGATGAAAGTCTTTGTGAAAAGTTGCCGTTTTCCAAGTGCAGGTTGCTCCATTCCACAGAGGGTAGAGAGTAGGAAACAGGCTGAAACCAGCAGCGAGCATCAGGTAAGGAAGGATGCTTGAGTTCAGGCTGAAATTCTGAAACAGTTTGATCGACAAAAATAAATAAATAAATAATAAAAGAAAGAAAGAAAAGAAAGAAAAAAAGAAAAAAAAGATGATTATTTCAAGCAATGTTTTTTTCCTCGTGAACATTCCTCTTTTACCAGCTATAACTTTTTTCTTTACTGAAACAGCCCAACGTTTCTGCTCATGGTGCCCTGTGAATAGTAACTCTGTGTTCAAACTTTTATTTAAATTTCAGTAACAAAATAAACTTTGACAGTTTTTTTGTAAAATCACTCAAAATTAACCAATTGGAATCAAAATATAGCAATATATTTCATGTTATTTGCAGATACGCCTAAGCTGTATGGAAACTGTACACGGGAAGGTAATACAGAAATTGAAGACAAATCAAAATGTGCGCCCCCTGGTGACTGAATGCAATTTAAGTCCATGGGTCATTTTTTGACAAATAAATGAATAAATAAATAAAACTAGAAACATACTAAAAAGTACATTT